TAAAAATTATGTCATGAACTCAACTCTTGAAGAAATGTCTAGAGGCAGATGATCACCATAGCTTGGAGGGGATAAGACAGGATGAAGGTCAGCCCGCTACATCTGCAGCAGCCAGGAGGGAAGATTGTGTCACTAACCCGGGCCGGAGGACAAAGACAAAGAGGCTGAGCATGCATGAGAAACTGGCCATGGAATTTCCTGAGCACAAACTAATGTATTTAAAAGAAGAGCATGATATGAAGATGCAAATCCTTCATGTTGAGTTGTCTATGAAGGAGGAGGAGAGAAACAGGAAGCATCAGCAGTACCAATGTTCTTCTCGAACCAGCACCAGTTTGGGGTCCTGATATTTCCCTTTGTGAATTAAAAACCTTTTTGTTACCAATCCATGGCTATTGTTTGCTTCAATCACTTGAGCTATCTTTGTTGTGAGAAGTGCTGCATAGCAAAAGCTTCTCTGCAGGGTTGTCCAGTTCTGTCATTGTCTGCCTCAACCATGGGAACATATGGGTCATCTTCATCTTCAATGCGAGGATCTGGGCAACCATGCTGTTTGAGGTCATTGATCTGGGCAGCCATGCTGTTTGAGGTCATTGATCTGGGCAGCCATGCTGTTTGAGGTAATTGATCTGGGCAGCCATGCTGTTTGAGGTCATTGATCTGGGCAGCCATGCTGTTTGAGGTCATTGATCTGGGCAGCAATGCTGTTTTGAGGTCATTGATCTGGGCAGCCATGCTGTTTGAGGTCATTGATCTAGGCAGCCATGCTGTTTGAGGTCATTGATCTGGGCAGCCATGCTGTTTGAGGTCATTGATCTGGGCAGCCATGCTGTTTGAGGTCATTGATCTGGGCAGCCATGCTGTTTGAGGTCATTGATCTGGGCAGCCATGCTGTTTGAGGTAATTGTGAAGCACTGCTGTTGCAATTATGACAATGCAGCATCTTCTTGGTTGAAAGCGCAATGTGTTTCTGAGACACTGGAAACGACTCTTCCATTTGGTATTTTTTGTATTTTATTAGGATCCCCATTAGCTGTTGCGAAAGCAGCAGCTACTCTTCCTGGGGTCCACACAAAACATGAAACATGACATAATACAGAACATTAATAGACAAGAACAGCTCAAGGACAGAACTACACATAGCACACATAGCCTACATATCAATACATACACACAAACTATCTAGGTCAAATAGGGGAGAGGCGTTGTGCTGTGAGATGTTGCTTTATCTGTTTTTTTTTTAACCAGGTTTGCTGTTCATTTGAGCAATATGAGATGGAACGGAGTTCCATGCAATAATGGCTCTATAAAATACTGTACGCTTTCTTGAATTTGTTCTGGATTTTGGGACTGTGAAAAGACTCCTTGTGGCATGTCTGGTGGGGTAAGTGTGTGTGTCAGAGCTGTGTGTAAGTTGACTATGCAAATAATTTGGGACCACACGACTGGACAAAACTAGACTTTCTTTTTGGAGTGTGGTGTCAAAAAAGCAGAGCATCTCTTTATTACAGACAGACCTCTCCCCATCTTTACAACCATTGGATCTATATGTTTTGACCATGACAGTTTATAATCTAAGGTAACACCAAGTAATTTAGTCTCCTCAACTTGTTCAACAGCCACACCATTCATTACCATATTCAGCTGAGGTCTAGAACTTAGGGAATGATTTGTACCAAATACAATTCTCTTAGTTTTAGAGATGTTCAGGACCAGTTTATTACTGGCCACCCATTCCAAAACAGACTGCAACTCTTCGTTAAGGGTTGCAGTGACTTCATTAGCTGTGGTTGCTGATGCGTACTGTATATGGACACACATGCTTTGTTTAATGCCAGTTGCAGGTCATTGGTAAAAAATAGAAAAGAGTAGAGGGCCTAGGGAGCTGCTCTGCGGTACAGCGCACTTTACATGTTTGACATTAGCGAACAATCCATTAAAGAAAACCATTTGAGTTCTATTAGATAGATAGCTCTGAATCCATGATATGGCAGAGGCTGAAAAGCCATAACACATAGGTTTTTCAACAACAGGTTATGGTCAATAATATCAAAGGCTGCACTGAAATCTAACAGTACAGCTCCCACAATCTTCTTATTATCAATTTATTTCAACCAATCATCAGTCATTTGTGTCAGTGCAGTACATCTTGAGTGCCCTTTTCTATAAGCATGCTGAAAGTCTCCATATACCAAAAATACGCTCCACTGCACCTCTGGTGCGAATATGAGCTTGGTTGTACCGTTGTTGCTCAGGTCCTATTGCATGAAGATAGGGGGTGAACATTAAGTTGGTCTGTGCATACCCACTGTCCCAAGTATGATTCCACTATGTTGTCCTCCTTCAAGCTGAGCATACAAAGAGTAGTTTTGGAAAATCCTTGAGTCATGAGTTACACCTTTCCGACGTGCAACAGTGTTGGAGAACTGCAAATTGGGAGTGCACACACTTTGTACATTTATTGAGAACCAGTTTTTAAGATTCCTGTACTCCTCCGCATCTGCTGTAGAGGGACACTTGATGGGAATATGACTTCCATCTATACAGTCAATGACTCCAGGGAAGTTCCCATAGTCATATAATTCTACCTTGTAGTTGGGCAACAGCATAAGGGAACTTCATGTAATCGTCTTTCAGTTCACATACACCATTGCAGACTTGTGGACTATTATGCATGATGGAAGGTTCCAGATGCCAAAAAACTAAATGTCAGCTGCATTTTCTTTGTATGGAAACAGTCACGAAAATTGATTTAATCAAAATCATTCAGTGGGTTGCTCCTGTCTATAACCGCCCTTCTGTCTTGCCTTGGAGGTGCTCTTTGATCCTCATTGAAATAGTCCAGGTAATCCATTTTCTTCCTTTGCCAAGGTCAACCTGGGGGCCAACATCCATTCATCTGAAGTTAAACCTGCCTTTGACCATGTTTAATTTAAGCTTTCACTTAGATCTAGATTCATTCTAATCGTACTTCTGGAAATAAGACTTTTAAAATCTAGACTAGGGCAAATCTGAGACTATTTTAAACAATGTCTGAGAAATGTAATTTCAGTTAGTCCAGTTTAAAAGTGAAATGTAGTCTAGGATTAGGTTTAATTTGTGTCCGCGAAACAGCCCCATAGAGTTTGTTTTATGGTAGGATCAAGATGGTCAGATTTATATTTAGATACTGCATATTGAAATTAATTCTGGAATGTTTAATGTTTCATTAGTATCATGGCAAAATGAAAATGTCTAGTTACCCATGGTGGTATAAGTGTTGCATGAAAACGCAGGAGTACGTCACTGAACTCTTTGTTCTTGCTATCAGCAATACAAGAGCTGTCAAGACATGGTAAGGGGATGAGCTATAGCCATAGGAATTTGAGGTCATGTAGCTACAGTACATAAGATGGTTGGTTGTTGGAACAGGAAATGGACAGGGCTATTTCATGACTTAAGTGTTTTTGGTCCTCATGGTGTTGACCCAAAGTCACTTCAGTTGAGCCTCGAGGGAAAGGGGGTATGGGGTGTAAGGGTAAAATACAAACATGAGAAGAGTGTTCATTTGTGAGAGTGAGCAAGTTAGCATGGTGTAATGGTGTTATGTTCATAAATCAACTAGGGAATTTCCCTACATCTTGTATAAGCCAAATATGTGAACACCGTTCCACCAGAGTATAGGATTACACAGTGAAATATTTGAGAAAACAAATAATCTTCTTTCTACAAAACCCCAATCTATCTCCATGAAACAAAAACAGGTATTTTCTCCTGTTCCTATTAGAACAAACAACATTGTATAAGTCCCAGTCCACATACAGTATAGGCCTATGGCTTATAACATGGAAAATACCTGTAAGTGATTGCCAAAGAAGTACAGAGGATGTTACAGTAGCCTGATGTAGTTTGACCCATAGATAGGACACCTGGTTCAAATCAAGTGGAAGCCTGAGGTCTGAGTAAGCACAATGTGTTTCCTATGCTTGTCTGTAAATGTTTGGACGGTGACTGTGGAACTAGGAAAAGAAGTGGAAAAATTGCATTGGATTTTGTTACTCCTCAAAACAAACTCATAGCGATTGTTATGAAAAATGTGTGAAAACTATTAGAAAAGACAATTGAATCTTGAGGCATATTTGAGAACAAACAAATACCTACACCTTTCGTCTTTGTGGAACAAACATTTTACAATTTGACCAGTTATGGAGAGAGAGAAAGAGAGAGAGCAGACTGTGCAGACGTGAGATCTAGAGGTGCTGCATGTTTGTTGTTCTTGGTAAAAGCATTACCTCATTGTCCAGCTGTGACTGAGCAGAACGAGAGAGCACGAGAGAGAGAATTTACCCCTCTGTTACTCTACTCATATCTGAGCATGGAGCTTTTTGTTTTGGGAGGACGTTTTTACAGCTCCAGTTTACAACCCTCAGTCACTCTAACTCTGCCCAGCCCTTGACAGAAAGTGGTGACCTCACTCCTCTTTAATGAAACTTCCCCCTCTCTTTCCCTCCCTATTTTTTCATTTTTTCTAAGAGAGCAGCCAGGCAGCAAGCCAGACACTTTCCCTTTTTGCTTAGCTCTCTCTCTCTCTCTCTCTCTCTCTCTCTCTCTCTCTCTCTCTCTCTCTCTCTCTCTCTCTCTCTCTCTCTCTCTCTCACTATCAGCTTTGTGGTTGCTCAGAAGAGGCACTCCTCCCTCCTCGGCTTCTCACATTGGTTTCCCCTGACATGACACAGGCGCTGTAGCTCAGTTGATAACTTCGAAACAGACAGAAGGGGACGTCCTATTGTGTGTCCTTTCCTTGTCTTCCTCTCCATGAGGTGCAAGGAGACGGGTGGCTTTTTGAGTGAGTTTTGCTCCTGACTATTCTTTGGGGAAAAGTGCGTTGTTCATTCAAGGATTCGTCTTGTTTTTCCTCTCACTCTGAACTTCTGATACTGGACATTGCGGTCGATGAGGTGAGAGATCTGTATTGTTTTGTTAGTTCTTGTCACAGTATGCCCATCTAGACTAAACTGCAGAGCTATCAAGAACCATGTCTGAGGGTGTCGTCAGAAAAATCCAACCCTTTACCATTGGGACCAGGCTGTCTGTCCCCTCCGAAGCCAAATGCCAGGAGTTCGTAGACGTCTGTCTGCCGAAGTCTGCTGCTCCGAACAAGTTGGAGCTACAGAACAACCTACATGACCAAATGTCCCTTTACATGGGCCAGTCCCAGGGGTGGCCTGGGACTGGGAACTCAGAACTCCCACAACTGGCCGCCCAGATCGACGCTTCAACTCTAGAGGGACATCAGGATGAGAGAGTGGAGGAGGACAGGAATTCTGTGTCCCCCACTGCGTCCTCCAGGTCCATCAGGAAGATCGCTATTTGCCGGAACGCCGAGACGGTCCCCGACATGTCCCTGTGTGACTCTGACCTGGCCACCTCAGTCAGGTCCACATCGGAGACCATCCGAAGCAACAACAACAGTGTTCACCCAAAACCGCCCTCCTTGATGGTAGAGGACGACTTGGAGAAGAGGTCCAACTCTCAGTCTAAGGTAACCTTGGATTGCAGTTGTTTTATTCATTGTGTCTCACATGTTATTGAGTTGGGATAGGCTACAAGCCATGGTGAATGTCTCAACCAGTGTTGTTATGGACATTTGTTTTGTTTCTGTTAGTTAATGTAACCAGTGTTAACCATTCTCAAGCTTTCTGAAAGCAAATTCATTGACTTGTTTACTCTAAAGAGAGTAAGAGCCAAAAGGCAATAGGAGGATTGGGAATTAAATCCATAACCACAAAACCCAGTGTTAGTAATGTTTTGTTTTTCTCCCTCATTTCACATACTATGTAATGCTCTCATTACGTAATAGTGTTTTTTCACATACTAATAATTACTGAATTTGCGGTTACTGACTAAGCTGAGTAACAACATCAGAATCTTTCCGTTGGACGCCTTCCACCCTGCAACACAAGATATATATATATATATTTTTTGCATGTTACCAAAAGCCACACGACATAAACACCACCATAACGTGCATTGTTCCAACATTAAACCCTCCACACACACACACACACACACACACACACACACACACACACACACACACACACACACACACACACACACACACAATGTGTGCACTATTACCTCAGTGTTGCATTATCCCCACTGTACTCTCGAGCTATGAGATCATCAGCAGGCTTTCATTAAGCAAGGCAAAAGGCCACGTTTCGAATGAACTTGTTATTTCCACAGAATAAATGACTCGAAATTCCATAATTGAAGGGGTTGCGTGATGAAAATAGCAATCAGGCACATTGCGTTGGTGGATAAAATGATGCCGAACTGAAGTTATACCTGTGATTAAGTGTTTCTCCAGATCCACAGCTGGCAAACGGGTTATTTCAATCTTTGTGAGTGCCTTTCAGAATTTAAGGGGCTCCCGATAGTATTTAATGGTGACATTGAACAACTATTTTGAAATATAAATCCTTAAGTTCCACACCAGTGGCACAAGCATGCCAAAATAAGCTTACAGATAAGGAAGATAGTGTACTTACTATCACGTACCATGTTAAGATGCATATTTTAGCATGATACAGTGGGGGAAAAAAGTATTTAGTCAGCCACCAATTGTGCAAGTTCTCCCACTTAAAAAGATGAGAGAGGCCTGTAATTTTCATCATAGGTACACGTCAACTATGACAGACAAAATGAGAAAAAAATTCCAGAAAATCACATTGTAGGATTTTTTATGAATTTATTTGCAAATGATGGTGGAAAATAAGTATTTGGTCAATAACAAAAGTTTCTCAATACTTTGTTATATACCCTTTGTTGGCAATGACACAGGTCAAATGTTTTCTGTAAGTCTTCACAAGGTTTTCACACACTGTTGCTGGTATTTTGGCCCATTCCTCCATGCTGATCTCCTCTAGAGCAGTGATGTTTTGGGGCTGTCGCTGGACAACACGGACTTTCAACTCCCTCCAAAGATTTTTTATGGGGTTGAGATCTGGAGACTGGCTAGGCCACTCCAGGACCTTGAAATGCTTCTTACGAAGCCACTCCTTCGTTGCCCGGGCGGTGTGTTTGGGATCATTGTCATGCTGAAAGACCCAGCCACGTTTCATCTTCAATGCCCTTGCTGATGGAAGGAGGTTTTCACTCAAAATCTCACGATACATGGCCCCATTCATTCTTTCCTTTACACGGATCAGTCGTCCTGGTCCCTTTGCAGAAAAACAGCCCCAAAGCATGATGTTTCCACCCCCATGCTTCACAGTAGGTATGGTGTTCTTTGGATGCAACTCAGCATTCTTTGTCCTCCAAACACGACGAGTTGAGTTTTTACCAAAAAGTTCTATTTTGATTTCATCTGACCATATGACATTCTCCCAATCCTCTTCTGGATCATCCAAATGTACTCTAGCAAACTTCAGATGGGCCTGGACATGTACTGGCTTAAGCAGGGGGACACGTCTGGCACTGCAGGATTTGAGTCCCTGGCGGCGTAGTGTGTTACTGATGGTAGGCTTTGTTACTTTGGTCCCAGCTCTCTGCAGGTCATTCACTAGGTCCCCCCGTGTGGTTCTGGGATTTTTGCTCACCGTTCTTGTGATCATTTTGACCCCACGGGGTGAGATCTTGCGTGGAGTCCCAGATCGAGGGAGATTATCAGTGGTCTTGTATGTCTTCCATTTCCTAATAATTGCTCCCACAGTTGATTTCTTCAAACCAAGCTGCTTACCTATTGCAGATTTAGTCTTCCCAGCCTGGTGCAGGTCTACAATTTTGTTTCTGGTGTCCTTTGACAGCTCTTTGGTCTTGGCCATGGTGGAGTTTGGAGTGTGACTGTTTGAGGTTGTGGACAGGTGTCTTTTATACTGATAACAAGTTCAAACAGGTGCCATTAATACAGGTAACGAGTGGAGGACAGAGGAGCCTCTTAAAGAAGAAGTTACAGGTCTGTGAGAGACAGAAATCTTGCTTGTTTGTAGGTGACCAAATACTTATTTTCCATCATAATTTGCAAATAAATTCATAAAAAATCCTACAATGTGATTTTCTGGAATTTTTTTTCTCAATTTGTCTGTCATAGTTGACGTGTACCTATGATGAAAATTACAGGCCTCTCTCATCTTTTTAAGTGGGAGAACATGCACAATTGGTGGCTGACTAAATACTTTTTTCCCCCACTGTATACATTTGAAGTAAACAGGTAAATTAAGTTAGATGTTTTTACAGACAACAGTCCCATGGTTACAGTTTTCAATGCTGAGCATGCAACTTGCAAAAAGACAGTAGGAGAAAAAAAGGAACTGGAACAGCGAAAAGAGGAGCAATTATTTTGAGATGAGATCATGGTTTTGGCTCTCTTCGCTCCTCATCTCGGCCCTGTGTAGGTGGGCTGGCTGAGTCACACAAAGCCTGCGTTATCTCATCGCAGTGTTTAGTACACAACTTACATTATTCACCAGGTTGAGTATAGCTCTTGGGGTGAGTTTGTGTGCATCTGTCTGTACATTGCCCTGTTTCTCATGATAATGTCTACATCTCTTGAAGTTTTCAACTTTTCAAGTACCCAAGACTAAATAGACACTTGTTCAGAGACTTGGCACATTGTTTATAGCCAGACTACAGGGGCATTCAGTTTTTAGGTCTTTTGTAGCCTACCTGTGGCTGGAACTTCCAAGGCACATGGAAATCTTGCAACATGGTGAAACCTGTGCAACAGGCCTTACAGTGGTACGTTATTATCAAACATTAGGCTCATATACACGCATCATCATGCATTATAACTGCAAGCTTTAAGTAAACTTTTACCAAAGTTTGTATTTCACTGCAGAAAATACAGTACATTGCGTTCCAGGAAAACAAACATCTGTCTAAGATGAAAACCAGGCAGGCCTAACAAGTTTCAGATTATTGTGGAGACTTTAGGGAACCAGCAGCAGGTTGCTCCATGATTTAGCTACATACAGTGGTGATGTAAGAGGTCTCGGAAAGATAATATTCATCATTCAACGGTCTGCATGAGGTCATCAGTACAGAATGCATCGGCATGGCAAAGAGAGAACGGAGACAGACAGGGAAAGGTTCCACGAACTTAAGGTTATGAAACCGCAAAGATGGAGACGGAGTAGTGCTCTGCAGCTTGCAGAAAATGATTAATTGCAAAGTAGCAGAAGTAAATGATTCACCTATACAGTGAAATTAATGTATCGCCTGTTGTGATTTCACAGCTGTGGCAAAAAATACATTACTTTCACATTTGTATGTTACAAATACTGATAACCATCTGTATAATGTATGACCACGCTCATAGTGCAGTAAAACACTTGCGATAACCATTCATAGCATATCATGGGTACTTTTAAAAGCACTTATAAATGAAAAACAGCTACATGGATCCCTGTAACAGCCTATGTACTGCAAATGCTTAAATGGCCATACAGAAATCCTTTGTAATGCATTACACACACGTGGTTCAGATATATACTGAACAAAAATATAAACGCAACATGCTACAATTTCAAAGATTTTACTGAGATACAATTCATAAAAGGAAATGTGTCAATTTAAATACATTCGTTAGGCCCTAATCTATGGATTTCATATCACTGGGAATACAGATATGCATCTGTTGGTCACAGATACCTTAAGAAAAAAGGTTGGGGCGTGGATCAGAAAACCAGTCAGTATCTGGTGTGACCACCACTTGCCTCATGCAGCGCAACACATCTCCTTCGCATAGAGTTGATCAGGCTGTTGATTATAGCCTGTGGAATGTTGTCCCACCCCTCTTCAATGGCTGTGTGAAGTTGCTGGATATTGGCGGGAACTGGAACACGCTGCATCCCAAACATGCACAATGGGTGAGTATGCAGGCCATGGAAGAACTGGGACATTTTTAGCTTCCAGGAATTGTGTACAGATCCTTGTGGAATGGGGCCGTGCATTATCATGCTGAAACATGAGGTGACGGCCGCAGATGAATGGCACGACAATGGGCCTCAGGATCTCGTCACGGTATCTCTGTGCATTCAAATTGCCATTGATAAAATGCAATTGTGTTCATTTTCCATAGCTTATGCCTGTCAATACCATAACCCCACCGCCACCATGGGGCACTCTTTCACATCAGTCATACACGTTGTCTGCGGTTGTGAGGCCAGTTGGACGTACTGCCAAATTCTCTAAAACGGCGTTGGAGGCATTCCTGCAGTCAGCATGCCAATTGCATGTTCCCGCAAAACTTCAGACATCTGTGGCATTGTGTTGTGTTTCAAAACTGCACATTTTAGAGTGGCCTTATTGTCCCCAGCACAAGGTGCACCTGTGTAACGATCATGATGTTTAATCAGCTTCTCGATAGCCACACCTGTCAGGTGGCTGGCTTATCTTAGCAAAGGAGAAATGCTCACTAACAGGGATGTAAACACATTTGTGCACAACATTTGAGAGAAATAAGCTTTTTGTGCGTATGGAACATTTCTGGGATCTTTCATTTCAGCTCATGAAACATGGGACCAACAATTTAGATGTTGTGTTTATACTTTTGTACAGTACCAGTCAAAAGTTTGGACACACCTAATCATTCAAGGGTTTTTCTTTATTTTTAGTGTGCAAAGCTGTCATCAAGGCAAAGGGTGGCTACTTAAAAGAATCTCAAATATAAAATATATTTTCATTTGTTTAACACTTTTTTGGTTACTACATGATTCCATATGTGTTATTTCATAGTTTTGATGTCTTCACTATTATTCTACAATGTAGAAAATAGTAAAAATAAAGAAAAACCCTTGAATGAGTAGGTGTGTCCAAACTTTTGACTGGTACTGTATATTTGTATGTATACAGTACCAGGGACTTATTCATCTTGTTTACAGACCAGCGTGGAATTGAACTAACTGTCCAATGAGAAATGTAAGGAATGGGAGCTAGAATCATATTTTTTATTCTATCACTTATTTTTAATTTATTTGTGCAATTGTGAAACATAAGAATTATGAGTACCACTAGAGACAGGCTTGCAATTATCTCTCAGTGCACCTGCAATGCTTGCAATTTGACATGTGTGTAAATAATATTGGGAAATATAAAAGAATGTATTTCATGATATATTGCAGTTTTACTTTGTAACAAATGACTATCAATAATAGTATATTTACTCATTTTTGCTTGCTCTCTACCAGATGTTTAATCCCAGGCTCCAAACTGTTTAGTTAGCCAAACACTGCCAGACCTAAGTCAGTATTCCAGTATATTTTCATATACTTCTTTCAGTATATTTTCTGTATTTTTAAACAATAATCGCCTCACTAAAGGCACAGTATAGTATGCATATACTCATCAAATGTCTTCATGTCATCATGGATGGATGCTTTATTGAAAGAGCAAATCTGCTAAAGTAAACATCCCTTGAGCAAATTTCGTATCAACTTGATTTTAAGGACCTGTGATTTCTCAATGGTGTTTCTATACAGGTAGACTCTTGGTTCAAGAGGAAGCTTTGGGATCTGAAGTATGGCTGTAGTGTCCTTGGATGTCCTTCGCAGGGCCCAGAGGACGCATCTCCGACCCAACAGCGAGACCTCAAGGACATTGAGAATTCCCTCATACAGATGACGAGAAGTCTGGATGTCAAACAGGTTTGTTCTTCAATTAATAAATCAATGTGTAGTGCTCAAAGGCCCATGATGTGATAAAGCTCATAATTCAGTGTTTCTCAATACATACAAAACATTTTGTTCTAGCCCAGCACTCACACCTGACTCAACTAATCAACTGTTAAGTTAGCCATTCAGTAGTTGAATCCGGTGTGTTGGTGCTGGGCTTGAACGAAAATGTGCACCCTGTAATGGATAAAGAAACGTCATTATGTCGTGGTCCTTTATGCACTACATATTGACTACATTTACTTCATACAATACTGTACTGTATCCACATACATGCCCTCAAGTGTCAGAACCATGCATTGAGTATACTGGTTCACAGGTTTTTCCTTTATAATGACCTCTATAGGATGGACATCCGTACGAGACGCTTGACGTGGAGACCGACAACAAGGGAGAGAAGAGGAAGAGACTACAACAGATAGAAGGCAACACAATCCCTTCTAGAGAGAACACAGTTAACCAAACGTAGGTCCCATTTTTTACTGTCCGAGCAGCAAGATATATCAGTAACACCTTACTTTAATTAACAAATAAAGCAATAACAGTAAGGCACGAGAGGCCCCTAAGCTGGGATATATTAATGATAAATCATGGCCACTCGTGCTTTATTGCTTTATTATAGTTTACTTCGATTTTTCTATGACTAGTCTACATATACTTTGTCCTTGGTGCTATGGATGTATATTTGTTATGGCTACCGTTAACATGTTGTTTTCCTGACTACTACTATGTAACTACAGCTTTCCATGTTATGTAACAGTAATTGGTCTGACTTGAATTACTTCCACATCCATCTTGGATTTCAAGTCATATCTGGGAATTTGACCCCATTGTGATCCCATTGCCAAAGCACTGAATTAGATACTGTATCTCTTTAGTAGCTGGCTGAGGTTCCAGTCACTGTTAAGAAACTATCACCAAGACCTCAAACTGGCTCTGGACGTCTCCTCCTTCTACCAACAGGCTGACAACATCATCTGCACCATCAACAGGAAGGTAAAAAGGCAGAATAGGAATTTGGACAAGAGTCCTATTTTGCACCAGTGATCCTTTAAAGGTACAATCTGCAATATTTACATGCTGTTAAATGTTTATTTCATTTGATTGATTCTTGAAGACTATATGCGCCATGAGCTTAGTACAACTGTCCCCATCATAACATCATAACCCAAAATATAAGATTGTTTTACAACATTGTTTATGTCTTTGTTATCATTTGAATGTTATGTGGAAATGCGGTCCCAAGGCTCTGCAGATTATCATTGTTTTGTAATGACACGTTATTACACATGATTATTATCATTAGATTGACTCTATATTATTTTGTTTGTTTGGTAGAGAAGTGTCCTGCCTGGATCAGATAACCAGGGGAGCTGCAGTCAGACAGAGATCTACAATATTGGCAGCCAAATCATGGTGCGTGGCACATGGGGAAGAATGTAGCTAAAAATAATTAATACATTTATGGTGAAATGCAGTAATGCATCATTCATACATCAGGGTTGTGTTGAATTCCATTTCAAGTGAAATTCTAGTAATTAAAAACAGTTCTCATTGAAAATATGACCAACATAAATTGTTCTCCAATATGAATTGAATTTCACTATTTCAAAGGGAATGCACTACAACTGTAATGTTTTTAAAGGAATGCACTACAACTGTAATGTATGGTCTAAGCACATGCTCAGTACTCAAGCCTACTTCAATCCTAAGTAGAGAGAAACACAGAGAAACTATCACAAGACAGTGAAACTTAACACTATAATCTAGAGTACTTTTTCCTAGACCTTCTCTGGATCTTTTTGGGGGGTTTCCCCGTTAACCATAGAAGAAGCCTTCTGTGACGTGATGTTATACTTCTGTGTTCCATCTAAACATAGCCAAATTAATTGTGTAATTTCCTTCCACTGCCCCCATCCCCTCCCTCGACCACACTCTCTTCAGATGCTGAACGAGACTGTTTCACGCCTTTCGGACCTCCATCCTACCCTGGCTGCCAGAGTGACACGGAAGCAGGCTGAGGTGCAGGAGAGCTGGGGCCTTCTCCAGGAGGCTTTTGGGTAAATAGGGGTCCTGAAGCCCACATAGTTTGTTTGTCTGTGTCTCTAATTGCAGCGTTTCCCAAACTTGGTCCTCAGGACAAGGGGTGCACGTTTTGGTTTTTGCCCTAACACTACACAGCTGATTCTAATTATCAAAGCTTGATGATTAGTTGATTATCTGAATCAGCTGTGTAATGCTAGTGGCAAAAACCAAAACGTGCACACCTTGGAGTCCAGAGGACCAAGTTTGGGAAACCCTGCTCTAATGGCACCCTATTCCCTATATACTGTAGTGCACTACTTTTGACCAGGGCCCATGCGACTCTGGTCAAAAGTAGTGCACTATATAGAGAATAGGGTGTCATTTTGGAATACCCTATAAAGTCATATGATCTAATACAGTGGTCCCAACTCCGGTCCTTGAATAACCCCAACAGCACACATTTGTTGTAGCCCTGGACAAAAACACCTGATTCAACTTGTCAAGGGTCTGATGATTACTTGAGAAGTAGAATCAGTTGTGCTTGTCCAGGTCCACAACAATATGCACTGTTGGGGGTACTCAAGGACCAGAGTTGGGAAACACTGATCTAATATCATATTATCTAGGGGCGTATTACAAGGATGCCATCTATCACCGTATCTATATATTATGGTGATATTTGCTATAAATGTAACATCAAAGGATTTTGAGAATGTTTGCAATGTTCACACATGGTTCCCTTTGGTTGGAGAACGTTGGCTTCAAAATGGCAGAGCTAAAATGGTAAAAACAAGGACTAAAAGATTAAACCCAAGAATAAAATAATAATCTTCAGTGGTCTGTCCTTGCTTACCTCTCTTCCCCACTGGCACTCTCCCACAAACATTTAAACATCTGTCGCTCATTATCTCATTTAGTGCGAGGGGCCTATAATTATCTCTTTAGCCAATACCTAATTCAGACACAAACACTCAATTACTAGACACTTAACTGGTTCAGGTGAAATGGTGGAATGAGATCTCAACTATGGCATGATATGAATAATGTATGTTAAGCAGGAACCTGGAATACAATTAACATAAAAAAGAACACTCACAAATACAATTTAAATAAGGGGCAACGTTCAAATGTTCAAGTGAGGATGTGTCCGCATCACTCAACCCTATTTGTTTATTGAAGACTGTGCATATTTCCCTCCTGAAACCACAGTCTGAGAACCAGGTTGCTTACCTGTAGCCTATTTTTCAGTGGTGGAAAAAGTACCCAATTTTCATACTTGAGTAAAAGTAAATATCTTAATGGAAAATGATACAAGTAAAAGTGAAAGTCACCCAGTAAAATACTACTTGAGTAAAAGTCTTAAAGTATTTGGTTTTAAATATCAAAAGTAAATGTAATTGCTAAAATATACTTAAGTATCAAAAGTAAAAGTAAAAAAATAAATAATTTCAAATTCCTTATATTAAGCAAACCAGACGGCACAATTTACGGATAGCCAGGGACACACTCCAACACTTACAAACGAAGCATTTGTGTTTAGTGAGTCTGCCAGATCAGAGGCAGTAGAGATTACCAGGGATGCTCTCTTGATAAGTGTATGAATTGGACCATTTTCCTGTCCTGTTAAGCATTCAAAATATAATGAGTACTTTTGGGTGTCAGGGAAAATGTATGGAGTAAAAAGTACATTATTTTCTTTAGGAATGTAGTGAAGTAAAAGTAAAAGTTACACCCCAAAAATACTTTTCATTTTTACTTAAGTACTTTGCACCATTGCTATTTTTCCCTCCATAAAATCGCTTACAAATGGTAGTGCTGAATAAAGTCATCAATGGAGGTCACCAATAACTGAATTAGCGAGCCGTTGCTACAGTATAATGATACAAAATGGGCAGCCCTTTTGACCCAACACACACACGTTGACTCTAAACTTTCCAACATGTTGATAAACATTACTTAATTTTTCACGCACAAGTCCAACAGTTTACGTTTGTGGGGGGGGTGGGGATGTTGGGGGGGGGGGGGGGGGGGGGTATGGGATGGGCCGCGGGAATTATTTGCTAGGATAATAATTGCTTGTCAATGAATTAAATGTAATACAATGGCAATCCTGGTTATATGTTAGAATCCTATGCGTGAACTGCCGACATTATTACGCATATTAATTGATAATGATGGAAAATAGGATATGCATAATAAAAAAAAAAAAATAGTTATATAGATATATATATATAGAGGTGAAAGCATTGGAAATGCTTTTGGCGGTTAACCTGCTTCTGTTTTGTGGGTGGCACTGTGTGCTGTTTTCGATGGATGGGTCCTGGCCTCTCGGGGCCTTAGGGATACGGAGGGACGTGGGGGGGATGCTGATCACTGGGATGACGGCTCAACTTGGGATGGGGAGGGGCTTTAGCGGGGGAATTAGTGGAGAACAATTGAAGGGTTACTCCATAGCAATGCAAATATCACGGTACAGCTATATGGACACTCAATCATTACGCTATTTTTTATTGGTAAATTTACAAACATATATAATGATAAATAGACTTGAAACTTGTATCTCATTATGGTGTATGGTGAAATAAGTATAGCCAGTTATAATTGTAATGGCTTAGCTGATAATAACAAAAGAAGAACAATATTTACATGGCTCAAAGAGAAGGAATATAATATCTATTGTATACAGGAAACTCATTCAACAATTCGAGATGAAGTAGCGTGGAAAAAAGAATGGGGGGGGGGGGGAATATACTTCTCCCATGGGCAAAGAAATTCAAAAGGGGTGATGATATTAATTAATAGTAATTTCGATCCGAATGTGCAAATTGTCCAAATAGATACGCAAGGTAGATGGATTATTTTAAATATGGCTCATTAACCTTTACGGACCAAATAATGATGATCCACAATTCTTTGACAATATATATAATAAATTATCAAGCCTGCAAGCAACTCAAGACAATATTATTATGGTGGGGGATTATAATACTGTTTTAAATAGCTCAATGGACCGAAAAGGAAATCACACCACAAACAATCACCCACATGCTCTTAAGGAAATTGTGAATGTCATGGATACATTAGAACTAGTAGATATATGGAGGCTTAAATATGCTGATCTAGTGAGATATACATGGCGGAGACTGAATCAAGCTAGTCGTCTTGACTTCTTTCTTATCTCATTCTCGTTGGCACCAAAAGTAAAAAAAGTGTTGATAGGGGACAGAATGCGGTCGGACCATCATATAATAGGCATATACATTACTCTGACTGAATTTCCACGTGGGCGAGGATATTGGAAATTTAATCAAAGCCTATTAGATGATAATTTATTTATAATTAGAACAAAGGAATTATAACGGACTTTTTCCAACATAACATAGGTACAGCGAATCCCCTTATTGTATGGGACACCTTTAAATGTGCCTTTAGAGGCCATGCAATTCAGTACTCATCTCGAAAACAAAAGCAATTTAGGTCAAAAGAGTTTATACTAAGAAAGGAAATAGAAAGTCTAACAGAACAGATAGATGGCAATAAAAACTGTAACATAGAGGCTCAGAATAAATTAGAGGAAAAACAAAAATAAATGGAAAAACTTATTCAAGAAAGATCAAGTGTAATATATTATAAAAATAAAGCAAACTGGATGGAATATGGGGAAAAATGCACAAAATTCTTTTTTAATCTTCAACATAGGAATGCTACCAAAAAGAACTTAATGAAACTGGTTACAATTGACGGAGTCACCCATAATTCACCTAATGATATTTTGAAGGAAGAAACAAAGTATTTTAAGCATATGTTTTCTTTTCAGTCGCCTCCATCTCCTCTAACTGAAGCTAATTGTAGAGATTTTTTTTCTATTGATAATGTCAAATTAACAGCCACACAGAAAGACTCATGTGAAGGTGAAATTACAGAGGAGGAACTTCTGGATGCAATTAAAGACTTTAAGTCCGGGAAAACTCCAGGGTTGGATGGCATACCAATCGAGGTATACCAAACCTTTTTTGATATACTAAGAGGACCGTTATTAGCATGTTTTAACCACTCCTATGTAAATGGTAGATTATCTGACACTCAAGAAGAAGGTCTGATCTCATTATTACTGAAACAGGATACAAGTGGAAAATATAAAGATCCAGTCCATTTACAAAATTGGAGGCCCCTTACACTTCAGTGTTGTGATGCAAAAATCCTAGCAAAATGTATAGCGCATAGAATTAAAAAGGTATTGTCGGATATTATTCATTCTAATCAGACAGGTTTTTTACATGGAAGATACATTGGAGATAATATAAGGCAAGTATTGGAAACAATAGAACACTATGGAAAATATGGGAAACCAGGCCTGCTATTCATAGCAGACTTCGAAAAGGCATTTGATAAAGTTCGACTGGAATTTATATATAAATGCCTGGAGCATTTCAATTTTGGAGAATCTCTTATAAAATGGGTCAAAATCATGTATAGTAACCCTAGGTGTAAAATAGTAAATAATGGCTATTTCTCAGAAAGTTTCAAACTGTCAAGAGGAGTGAAACAAGGTTGTCCACTATCGGCATATCTATTTATTGTGGCCATCGAGATGTTAGCTATTAAAATCAGATCCAATAATAATATCAGAGGATTAGAAATACAGGGCTTAAAAACAAAGGTGTCATTGTACGCAGATGATTCATGTTTTCTTTTAGATCCACAACTAGAATCCCTCCACAGCCTCATAGAGGATCTAGATACATTTTCTAACCTCTCTGGATTAAAACCAAATTATGACAAATGTACTATATTACGTATTGGATCACTAAAAAATACAATTTTTACATTACCATGTAGTTTACCAATAAAATGGTCTGATGGTGATGTGGATATACTCGGAATACATATCCCAAAGGAAATAAATGATCTCACTTCAATAAAGTTTAATAGAAAGTTAGCAAAAATAGATAAGATCTTACTACCATGGAAAGGAAAATACCTGTCAATTTGTGGAAAAATCACCCTGATTAACTCTTTAGTATTATCCCAGT